ATCATCTATAAAATTAAAAATAAGGAAAAAAAATCTTAATGACTTTTTTAAACTGTGTTGTACGTGACCCGTTTTAATCGATGTATAGAGTCACGTTTTCAATCATGCAGTAAATTGAGGCTGAGTTTTGTTTGAATAAAAAATTTTTCATCTGTAATTTAACTTTTTGTTTTTCATACAGTGTTTACGAACTAAATCAGTTACTTTTCTTTCTAGCCCGTGTCAATTACATCAACAGGCATGATGACGTCTGCACAGTGCGTGCGTGCCATTTTTTATTTGTAATTGAGCGACGTAAGCTGCTGTCGGATGAAAATACATTTCATCGTCATTCACACGTATACGTACACCCGATAATGATTTAGTAAAATCTGTGCCACGGCACACGGTTGGAATAAAAAGTCCCCTACAAAGAACTACGCGTACGCTGTAGACTTTGTCGAGCATAAACGACAAATCCTCGTAACTTTGCTACCTACATTTTATCGTTTTATGTCACACATACCTATAAACAATGTAGGTTAAGTAGCATCAACGTTATCATATTTTATTTTGAAATGTAACTATAGTCAATGATTGATTCAACGATAAAAAAAAAGCCCCCATGTAAATATTACCCTCTTTTACGTGAAAACGCACGCAAATACGGTATTGAGCTCGATTTCGACGAACGTACCAAGAGTCAACGAAGATGAAAAATAACGAAATTCCTCCTGTTTTATTGCACAAACACACGCTCCCGAAATTTCGAGCGCTTCAAAAAACGTCCCCCTCCCCCCATGTTCGTATACTCTGATTCCTATTTCGCACCCATGAAATAAGCGTAAAACAAAATTTTACGTTCGCGCGAATCCTCCACTCGATTTTTATGTACATAAAACAGCCCACCGGGTAACCGCAACGTTTCCTTGCTCGTAAAAAAACACGCGCAAAAACAAGCCTGTTGCTCGCGTTCGTTACGGTCTTATATATGTATACAACCGCCCTCCTCCCCCACGATTTCTTGCGGCTAAACGAAGAGCCTACGTAACTAAAACCCGCCACGGCGCTGTCTCCGGCCAACAAGTATCGCACGAGCTCTCTCAGAAAAAAAACCATTGTGCTCGCCTTTTTTTTTTTTTTATAAATACTCGTGTCGTGCTATTGCGACGGTACATGTTTTTCAATTTTCTCACGCGTGCGTCAAGTTATATTGTGAAAAAAAACTCATTATATTGCAGCTGTAGGGAACGACCACGCGTCTGACCAAACGCGGACTGTTCTACTTGTCCAACCTTTCGATCGCGCGCGTGTGCAAACAATCACGTACGGCATTAAAATTAAACATGGGCTCCTAGTACACCTACATGTACATATATATATATATTCTAGACAGCCCTACGATATAACTGTATATGATATCACGTACTCGTTATTGTCGCGTACTGTGCACGCGTGTCTGAATTACAAGTCAAACGGCACATATAGAGCTACCGAGCGTAGGTATATGTATACTCTTGTAACATGTGATTTTTGAGTATAATGTTATAAACACACGCGCTCCGCGACATACTATATTATGTACACACACACACACACACACAGAGACGGTAAAAACAATAGGTGTACACCCGGGTCGCGGGTGCGTGTGCATGAATAATTCACCGGAGTGGCTCTCCGTGCGTTGTTATTACAGTGCTCGAGCCACGCGAAATTCTCCTTGGAAATAAATAAGTGCGCTCGTTGTTGTTAATTTATCAGCCGCAGGGATCGATAAATATACGCGTGCCCTCTCTTGTTGTGGTGCTCTTTAACTTTTGTGGCGGGTGTTCGCCTATAGTCTTGAAATTGCAATGAAACGTTTGCCTTACGCGTAAGTGGCACGATACTTACATTGGTACACCCCCCTACCTCACCTTTGCAAACGACGCGCCGTCGGATTTATGAATAGTAATGATAATTGTGACCTCACGTGCGTACAATATATTTATATACATTGTATAAAGTATATGCCCGTTATTGTAGTATGCCCGTTGTTATAAGTATGTGGTGCGTGCGAGCTCCATCGCTATTGTAGACCACAGGGTGTATAATAGATGTAAACAGGACAGGTATAGGTATGTATATATATAACAGCGGAGCGAGTTGCTCGAGGTGCTGGTCGACGAACTTGGCGTGTACATGTTATTTGTTACAAGCGTGTGGGTGTATATCTATACTAGTTTGACACCCGCATGAGCGGGGCTAAGGTGGAAGAAAAGTTTCGAGCCTCAACTTTGCGTCGCCGCGTTTCGTGTGCACGTGCAATCATAAACTGGGACGAATGTGACTGGAATCGACTAGTATAGTTGCCGGTAGTTAAGTTTTCGTTTACGCCTTCGTCAAAGGACCAATTGAGTGTCTCTTATTGCTACTTACGAGCGAAGGGGTGGTGGAGGCTCGTGTCGATTCAGCCATGGTTTGTTTTATTGCACTGGTGCGTGAATGTAATTACCTATATATACGGGTGCTATGTATTTTTCAGGGTTGGGCACGATCATTCTATGAATTTTTTAAGAGAAAACCTATTTTTCCTGAATAAAGAGCATTTCTTTTTTTTTTTTTTTTTTTCTTTAAAATCGTAATGCACTGTTTTTTGTTGAGCATTGTGTTCTTTCAAAGTGGTATTATCCAATAAATTTTCCAAGTATCCGTGCGAAAGTCTGTATATTATAGTACTCGCATTTTCGGACGCTCGCGAAACACCCGATCCGTAAGAAACGCGCATTTAGTCGTGATTTTTTTTTTGTTGTCTCTGCAAAAGCCACGGCAACGAGACCGTGGTACCTACCCCTTGTACCGCACAAACTTTGAATGCCGATTAAAGTTTTAATACGCTCTTACCGGGGCTCGTCGCATCGTGTCTCTCGAATTTCAGCCAAGAGAGGCGCGCTCGGCCCCGAGAAAACCCCCCGCTTTTTACCCCCCCCCCCATCGCTGCAACTCGAACACTCGACTCGCGAGACAAGAGCCTTCAACTTTCCCCAGCTCTTTGTTCTTTCCGCTCCGAGCGCCCCCTTCCATACATATACACCCCCGGCGCGAAGTGACACAGAGCCCCGCTTTAAATTATTCACCGTCGCTCTCGGAATATTTTTACCCGTTGCGCTGGACGGCGGGACCTCGTGGTTTTTCTTTTCGCTCTCTCACCCTTCAGAGCTACACTCGTGAGCTCCATTTCCCGGTCGAGCCGAAGTCGACTTGGGACGAAGCGCGTATACGGGACAACTCGCGGATATGGTTGTCACTGTGTACGTCCTGATACGAATAGCAGGGAATTCACGAGTTAGCTGCACAGCTGTACAATTTTGCGCGTTTGTCACAAGAGGTGGAGGAGCTCTTTTCCCGTGAACTCCACATTTATCAAGTTCGATTTGAATTCCAGCCTCCCGAGGATGATTTATACCGAAAATTCCGTGCCGGTAGGCTATGATAAACAAAAGGGGGGAAAAAAAAAACACTCGGTCGTTCGTCATTTTTCTCCCACCGCTGCACCTGTGGCGCACTGTTTGCGATAGTCGCTTTTTCTCCGCTTCTTACATAATGTTATGTTACACTCTGGGCTTTAGCGCTTGCCCGGGGTGTAGCACCTTTACCCCTCCCCCAACCCCCTTTTTCTCGCTGTACCAGAAAATATATGTATTAAACTTGAGTGCGTAATTCACCGTCACGTTTATACACGCATATTCGGAGGAAGAAAAAAAAAAAAGTCTCGAAGCAATTCCCGTCTCGTCGTTCCCAATCTTCCGCGCGAGTTACGCCGCGGTTATGATAATTTCCCTCCAGAGCCCGCTCGCTCGAATTACGAAGCTCCTTTCCCCCGCGCGCTCGCTGTCGACTGTTCTCTCGTGAACTTTTTTTTTTGTTTTTTTTTTTTTTAATCGTGGCATCGGGTGATAAGGAAACGAAGTAAAAGATATAAATCCACGTGAAACTTTTACCAAAAAAAAAAAAAAAAACAACCCTGCCGAGTGAAATTCACGAAAAATATATGACGCTCGTTTCACCTCATCGTTAACGAATGAACCGTATATATATATTGTTCAACGACGCAACAGCCCGTAAAAGTAATTGATTTTTGTTGTTTGTTACCCGGCCGTATATATATCTCACCAGAGCGCGGTATTACTCAACTCGGGGTATCGTGAACGCCCGCGCGTATCGATTGTCAAAGCCCCCCCGACGTCATAAATATATACACGTATACCACGAAGCATCACCTATACACGCGCGCGCGCACGCATTCGACAACAGCTCCCAGCTCTGATCGGCTTATATGTATAGCAGTGTCCCCTCCGAAAAGCTGACGCAACGGGATGAGCGAAGGAAACGCGACGACAAGGGAGTAGACCGACCGAAGAAAACAAAAGGGGGAGAAAGTGACAAACGACCTATACTCGGTAAAAGGGAGCATATACAGGATCACGGGGGTATATGCCTGTTGCTCCTTCGATTGGCCACGGAGTGCAAGTGTTTTTTCATCAACAACCCTCCAGGCTCTGTCGAGCTCGGCAAAGTCCGGGTCAGAGCTGCAGGAGAGCCCCTCCCAGCGCCGTCACTCTCCGAGCGTCTCGTTAATCCCTCCCTCTTCCATATATATACCTGCAGCGCAAGTGAACCTATACATACAATACCGTACATACGTATGTACATACAAAGCTGTCCCGCCTCGTTCTTGTCGGACAAGGTGCTGCGGCCACGTCGGCCTGTCGCGCGCGGTCTGCCTCGACCTTCTCGTCCCCGCGTTGGCTTTGCCCGTAATTGGACCGCGTCCGACACTCGCACGCCTGTACGTTACGATAACTCCTTGTAGGGCTTGGACTTTATGCCGCGTCGTCTTTGGGGTATTAATTTTTTTCCCGTGTATACGCCATGGGTGGGGCGAAGGAGGATTTGTTTTTACCATTTGTTCGCAAAATTAGACCATACCGTACGAAATTCATTATAATTCGCTAACAGAGCGTTTTTCTTTGCTGTTTCAGGGTATCACTTTTCAGCGGGGGCGCCGACACTTGGAGGTACACTGTGGTGAGTATAAGGAGAAATCATGGTAATAATGACGCGGCAATAAATTATTATTTTTTTTTTTTTGACATTGGCCACACGCAGAGTTATTTATTATCATCGAGCATGAGACGATGAAAATTTTTCATACGTTCGTCTACTCATACTTCAGTCCCTACTAATAGCGCGTGTTTCGTCGCGCCATCTCTTTTCCGTACGTCTTGCGTCACACGACACATAAGTAGTGTATATATTTATGCGAGACAGACACGCGAGCAGTCGCCCTATAATCATCGCGTGCTCGGGACGTGTCGTCCCATGACTCGCGAAGAGGGGACAACAGGTCGCCTATTGCTGCGCTAATGTCACGGCGCGGTGGATCAAAGGTCAGGCCAACTCGTCGAGGAAGCTTTCGAGAGCTTTTTCCCCCTGTTGAAATATGCCTCCCCCCCCTCGCGCGTGCGATTATTACATAATACTATTCACGCTCGTTCACGCGAGTCCTTCGAGAAAATGTTACTAACAATATCATCGTAGCATATTACCAATGGTAAAAAGTGTGTCGCGAGGTGTCGTATAGTTTATAGATAAGCCAAAGTTGATCGCGTAGGTGCTTTCCACACGTGATACTCATAGTTTTACAAAAAAGATTGAAACGATAAAAAAAAATCATTACAATCAAATACCCAATGGCAGCGTGAATGATAAGTTTTTGAATGACAATGAACGACCGAGAATTTTCCTATACGTGGAGCCGTCACTCGCAGGTGGCCAAAAAACACTGTTTGCCCGACTCCCAGATGTAACTAGTGTGTGTATCCACGATACGCGCAGAAGATGACTGGGAATATAAATTAGTCACACTCGATGATTTTAGGCAGTCCTTACTCCGTGGGGTCAAAGTGTGGACGTTTGATTCGTGAAAATGAAATCCATATTTTTCCTATTTGGTGTACTTGCGACTGTGCAGGCGTTGGCTCCGGTAAGTACGAGGCGACACGACACAGTTATCCATTAGAATGAAAATAAACACACATGTCCTTCACAACTAATATTTCTCTTTTTTTTTTTTTTAATTATTTTGTGTACAATATTGAAGTTGAATAATTACGAACAAAATATGAAGCAAAAGGCAGCAGATTTGATTTCTCGAACGGCAGAATTATTTGCAAAAACAAATAAAATAGGATGTGATACAATAAATCTGTACAAAATGAGCACTGGTAATGTAACTGAACTGTCAATTGAAGTCATGAACGAGAATGAATTAATAAAACTTATATTGGTTGGTATATTATTTATTTAGTATTTTTTTTTTTTTTTTT